TCGATCAGCTGAGCTGTAACCAACCTGAATACGGCATCGATGAGGAGGATAAGCTCTGCGTGATCATCGCAGGGCTTTGTCACGACCTCGGCCATGGCCCCTACTCTCACGTTTGGGATTCTCACGTAGACCTCTCACCCCGATCGCCCTCTCTCCGTTGTATATCGCAGGTGAACCCGGCCTTGGGCATACACAAGGGCCACGAGGCTATGAGTGTGAGAATGATGTAAACTACCGATAGGTCTAGGGTTCGATCCCTCGTACGAGTATTTCTCTCAGTGATATACTAGTCGAGCATCTCCGTAACACGAATCGGCCCTCTATTCGAGATTTTTTCACCACCAGGAATGTCGCTTTCATCAAGGCTTGCATTGAAGTAGGATTCTCGATTGATATGAGTCTATCCCTGTCCCCTCAGCCTCCAGCGCACTTACATGATCCTGGTTCCAGCAAAGCGCAGCGATATGAGGTCAGCTGCCCATCACAATGCTCGATGATTCTACATATTTTCAGTTTTTCCGTTCAATAGGGAGGCCGCTTTCTAAGTTCTTCCTCCTAGAGATCGTTGCCAACAAGAAATGCGGTGTTGATGTCGACAAGCTGGACTACATCCTTCGGTAAACACCTCATCAGCGTATATGATTTTTGATAGAAAATTTCTGAAGTCAATAGCTCACACCGGGAGATTATTGCTCATCTGGTTTGCATCGTCAACTACCGTATGTAGCTTCCTTCCCCCCAGGGACTGCCACTACACCGGTTATTCGTCTATCGTCGACCCGTCTCGTTTGATAAGTACCGCTAAGGTAGGTAACTCTCCTGCTGCTCTATTTGCATACCACTCCTTACTCAGATCATGCCATGCGACAATGAGCTCAACCAGATCTGCTGGCCTGCCAAGGCCGTCGGGAATATCATCGATCTCTTCCAACGCCGAGCGAACCTTCACCATGACGTGTGAGTATGTGACTGCTCCATTAGCCAGTTATTGTTCAACCTTAATCTTCGATTATGCTTCCAAAAGTCCTCTCTCCCTCTTTTACTACATTTCATATTTTGTATACGCCACCGTGGTGCATGCCTAGTGAATAGTATATTCCCCAATGTGGTCGCGCAATCTCACATGCACGCTGAAATAGCTATCGGATCTGGACATGGTGAAAGGAGTTTCTCCTCATCGGTATATGACTCTTGGTATCGCCAGGAGCGGCTCGTCTGGGGAATGATCGCTTCTTAAGATACCAGCACCCCACTGTTATCGGGGTGGACCTCATCCTCCGAGATGCTTTCGTGAAGGCCGCCCCACACCTCCAAATTCGATGCTCTGATGGCGAATTCAGGTCGGTCGGGCTCGTATAGTTGCGAATAGACAAATACATGCTGATGCTATTCAGACCCCTCGGTGAAGCCAGCGAAGATCCCGTGGCTTTCAGTCATGTCACCAATTGGCTTGTAGCGAACGGCTCCTTCAGCTGAGCTACCACTGTCCTGTTGTGTCTTGTTCAGCATCAGTTCATTCAGCACGGCCGGCATGTTAAGTTGGACGTCGACTGGGATCATCCGGACATGTTGGAAGCCACCAGACTGCTCGAAAGCGTCAGCAACAGGGAGTCAGTTCGTCGGCATCTACTTCATGCAATTGTCGGCTTGTAGGCTTTTCAAAGTAGCTGGTTCCTTCACTGAACGTTCTCCCGGCCAACGTGATCTCACCAAAGCCGCTGAAGAGATAGCGGCTCTCACCAGTGGTCAAGTTCAGGCTGGAGAGGTAGGACATCTCATCGTTTATATGCTGAGTTTCTGGTGCAGATCGAATGTCGGTCGAGAAAGATTTCTTGGGGCATGAAGGATAAGAACCCGATGGAAAACATACGCTTCTATGCAGAGAAAGGTGGATCCTGTTCAGCATTGATAAGAAGACTGCTTGTGTTTTGCAGGATCTATGCGGCTCAGTCGAACTGAGTTCCCTACTACATTACCTCGAGCTTTTGAAGATGCTGAGACTATTGTGTTCCTGAAGTCACAGGATTCGCACAAGAGACAATCTACTAGAGCTGCTCTTGACGAGTGGCTCAAGCAGCAAGTGAGTGAATGTTGCTCAGTTCGTTGATGGTAGGAAAAAATGTCTTCGCTGATTTTAGCCCGAGTCGGATCGTCTTAG